GCAAGAAGTACTTCCAGAAACACTTTTGGAGAAAAATTCAACTTCAAGAAAGCTGTGGACTTCTTTGGTGGAGGCATGGGATCAGCTGTCTGTAGCAACGGTTCATCACGCTTGACATGAGTTGCAAGGTATTCCAGGTGGGAGGCAGAGTCAATCTGTGACTGGTAGGTTCAGACTGTTGCAGTAGCAGTGGACCTCCAGATAAGCTGCGAGTGTTACAGCTAAAGGCTTCAAGACCACCAACCACGACATTATGGAGGTGATAAGGATCCTGATGACTGCCGACGAGATGTTAGATGATGATGACCTCAGTGAAGAAGGGCAGGTAAAGGCCATCCCAAGAAGAACGTAGTTATCGATAGTAATGCAAGGGTGCATTATGTAGAGAAGCTGAAGCCCTCCTTTCCGACTCCCTGACGATAACCGTATGAAGTTCACTACCCAGCTGTTGCAGACTATGGAGCCCTACATCAAGGTGTATCGCAACAACATCAACACTAGCGCCAACAAAGCATTTCTGAGTTCTTCTCCAGAACCGCACCACAGCCAGCCCAAGCCAGTGATAGTGACAGAGACAGTGATGGTGACTTTGAGGATTTGTCAGGGAGGCACTGATAAGTGTGGATGACAGTGATGATGACTCACCTGAGGCCAGTAGCCTGCCCTCTGCCTCGCAATCAGCCTCCATTCCGCACGCCAACCCATCTTCTACTAACGTAGTGTTAAACCTAACTTGATTTTTTTCTAACCTAACCTAACTTACAGTATATTATTCTCTTATTGATTGTTTTCTTCTATATTATATGCGGTGCATACCATCATGTTAGATGTTATTTTTCTAAAACGAATTATTGTGTCGGGAAAAGTGGAGTTTGGGGTCAGCCCGTCTCTATTTCAATTAATCCCATATGTTATGTTGTTCAGTTTACTTTTTCGCTACGCTGGCCTCAGTGGGTTCATTTGACCGCCAGAAAGCGAGGGTTCACTGTACAGTACTCCACCAGGAAGGCAGCTGATTGGCTGTTAGACAGACACTGAGGAAGTCACTACAGTTCTTTAGTATTTAATCTATTATCACTTAGAGTTTTGACTTGTGTGTTTCTTGACTCCTTGACTACCTGTAACATCTCTAACACTTTATTTCCTCCTCTGCCACAACATTATCCTTAGCACTAGTTTCTGTTTGGTCTTCCGATAAACAATATTTTTTGTTTTTTTTGTATATGCATTTTGGATTTTATTATACTGTAAAGTAATGAATGTAACATCTGAGGCTGCATGAATGTATTAAAAAGGACTTTGCAAAAATAATGTTTTGGGAAGATGAGCTTGAAAGTTTTTCTACACACAAAATTACATTATTTCAGCCAAATATGAGTCAATTTTTCATAGGGTTTGTACCATATTGTTGGGAAATATGTCCACCTTTTTGTGGGAATATACCAACATGTTTGGGGAGATGGAATGATTGAAAAGATTGAATATTAGGCGATTTCTACTCATGGCAGAGGTAATGATGGCTTGTGGATGGATGTATAAGGGTTGAAGGTGGGTTAATACTATGTTGTCATCCTCAGGATCCTCCACATTCCGCTGATACTGAGGAGCTTCCTGAGAGGTGGCCATTCTTTCTTTCCTGCACAGAGTTAATGTCCTCAAAATATTGTTTCGAGGCAATTTTTAGGTCACTTATTTTTTCTGCTGAAATTTCCGCTGACTACGTAGTGTATTTTGGTGAAAGAGATTGTTGGGGCAGGTCATCGTGAGCCAGACAGAATTGGTATTAATAAAAAATGGACTTCCACATCCATGTTGAGGTTGTTATTATACAGTACTGTAATGTTCATCTGTTTTCACATTTTGTATTTCAGTACTGTACAGGTATACCGATATCACGGCCTATAAGACGAAATTTGAACATTAAAAAATCTGCCCAAAGTTAGGGTCGTCTAAACCACCAAGTTTAAAATTCTACCTCTTAAATATTGTGGTTTAGTGTGTCAAGAGTGGTGATGAAAACATCGTAAGCCACCACAAGGTCTTACCACTAATTATTTTATACTGAAACTACGGCAAGCTGGATTCAAATTAAGATTACCGTATATTAAAATAATAAAAATGTATTATAAACCTGTCTAACATACCAAAAGAGATTTATACCCTATAATAAACACAGCTATCATCACACACCTCTCCCCCCCATTTGCCAGTGAGAGCCGTGGAGGGTCAGTAATGCATACCGGTATCGGTATATTTACTCATAATAATATTTATCTCCTATAAGTAATTGATTTAAATTTTATTGTTTTACAAAGAATATTCAGTAAATGAGTGCATTAATTCTTGAAACTATCGATGGTTAATTACAGACTAAGTGACGTCACTAGTGTTTACACTACACCAGCTGGTAATATTTGATGCCATTACTTGAAGTGAATTGGCCTTATATAACTAACTATAAATAAATACAAAAATTAAAAAAAGATCAAACTGAGAAATAATATACTGTATGTATGTTGTGTTTAAGAGGAACAATGTAAGTACGAATATTTTTTCCCAAATCCTAATGAAAACTACTGAGAATTCCTTTGTCGCAAAAACAGTTTATAAATTAAAAAAATAATTACAGTGTGTTTAATATATTACAGTATTATAAATAAATAAATAAAACAAATACGGTAAATCTATTTAAAGTAAATGGAAAATAAGCAAACATGTTATTTAAACACCTTCCGTCTGGCTCAGGGTGAGATGAGAGATAAGCTATTTATAGCCCATCAAGTGACCAGTACCAATGCAATAAATAATTCATTGAACATTCATTTTTGTACATAGTATATTCAGTATATATATATATATATATATATATATATATATATATATATATATATATATATATATATATATATATATATATATATATATATATATATATATATATATATATATATATATATATATATATTTGTGTAATAAATGTATGTAGTAATATACTATAACCTTTTTCACCAAATCCTAATGAAACACAAATTAGAATACTGGTTGTTGTTGAACCACATGTTATAAATAGTCACACCACCGAGAGGGAACACTCCCACCACGCTCAGTGACGTCACTAGTGTTTACACTACACCAGGGATAATTTGATGACATTACTTGAAGAATTCTTTATTTAAAAAATCAAGGATGGTTGGTAAGGACTACTGAGTCAGTGGGTAAGGTCACATTTGGGGTACTGGTCTATACAGCAAATAGAGTCAAAACTACTTTTAAATGGAAATTTGGGCGTTAGCACTATTACACCTGATATAATATACGTTATAACATCGAGTTAATAGTAAGTTCCATTCAATCAGTTGCTTATGTATTTTAGTGGAGCATTTATACCCACATGAATGCAAGTGATGTGATCCTGTGTGAAATATTAATGTCAGCACTGAGCTAGGAATACTGCCTAGTACAGATTAATTAAAATCCAGCATAAATCCAGAAAAAAATTGCTTATTCTAGAACCATATTTTCAGCAAGGGATTTCAACACAATTTAGGCTGTAGCTTAGCTGCTAATGGAATCTTATAATTTTATGAAGGAAGTGATTGATAAAAACACAAGGCTTAGTAATGGCATGAAATGAACTAGTGGATATGGGGCACGATAAGTAAAGTGTTTGAGGTCAGTAAGAAGCCAGGTACAGTGCAGTAGTTTGCCAGTATGTGAGAGAAGTGTGTTAGTGAGACAGATGTTAATATAGAGGATGTTGGATAATAGGTAAGGAATATATGTTTGATGGACCATCTTGTGTGTAGGGAGGGACTGCAGATGAGATGGAAGGTTTGACTGGTCCAAACAGTGTGACATTTGGCAAACTATTATTGGTTAGGGTATTGTGTTAAGGGCTTCTCTACCTAATTTTAACTTTAATTTCTGTTTATCAGGTTCTACACTATGGCACCAGTGAGGTCAACACCTTACAGATGAAGGTATAATGTCAGACAAGAAATCACACGAGGTTGAGGTCATGAGCAGTCATCGCGACGCTCTTGCAAAAGGTTAGTTTTGTAATGAACATAGCACGTGACAGTTTATTGATTTTCTTTAATTGCATATAACTTAGGGTCTTAATTTGTAATTGTAAGGCCAAGCAATATAGTAGCCCTCCATTTATGTGGTTGGCTCAAGTGGTTCTTGTAAACCAAAACTGTGTCTACACAAATTCAGGTCGCTCCACTATACAAAAGGATGCATTCCACAGATGTGGTGTGTAATGCAGAGTTAACTACAAGACAGTGAAGTAAAAGAGAATTTCCTGTCAAATTAGTATTGATAACTCAGTTCTCGTCCCCCTCCCATATTTTAGCTGTTTGGGCCAAATCTGTCCATGAGCGAAAAAAATTAAGGTGAGCAAAAGGTGTATAAACTTTAATCCATAGCATCCATTCTAACTGTGATAGAAAGTTAATTTGGCACCATAATGATTCCAGATAAATTTTGACTCAATGATGATGGAGAAATTGTTTTAAATTTTGTTAAGAATCTATAAAAGGAGTTGTAATCTTGGTAAAAATGCCTTGTTTCACCAACATGACCTGAATATTCATTGGAACAAAGCTAACATAGAAACACCATACTTTATATGAAATCACATTGTGTCACAGCTGAGACTGAGAGTGCACTGCTGGCAGGTGTATGAGAGCTCCCAGCAAGACCAGAATTTGGAGTATCTAGAATGAATGGCTCCTTGTCCCAGCCAGAAAAATGCGGTCAAATTTAAAACTACCAAGAGACATTCTTGGGTACATCCAGGGTGTCATCCGCCAATTACCGAGAACTGTGAAGTAAAAATCTGCAAGCCTGGGAGCCCTGTACTGTAACTTGAAAATTTGTATAATATCATTTCGTCTCTTTTATTATGGTCTTATGTATTTGTTATTTTTCTTCCTTCCAGGTCAAATGGACTGGGTGGTAGATCTTGGCAGTGGACGGGGATATTTGAGTTCATATACAGTATCAGCTTAAATGTTGTTGCTATTGACTCTAGTAAATCAAACACCTTTCTGCTCTGATTCGGAATGCCAGACTTGTGGAGGTGGCAGTTTGTTGCTACAAACTGCTCTGCAGGGTGACTTACTGAATATTCTTTGACTGAAAGTAGTTGATATTTGGTGTTTCCAATATGAGGACTCATTAAATTGCAGCAGAACCATAATTGAAATAACAGTATCGATTATATCGACTACCAAAATTATCGACATTTTCCAATATATAGCAATAAATTTATTTACAGTTGACTCACAACTTACGTGGGGTGTTCCTGGGACCTCAATAAACCAAAACCTTGTAAAGTCAGAAACACTCCTAAAAGTCTTTTAAATCGCCCAAAATATAGAAAGGAAAACTGTACAGTACTTAAATGTATTCTAAAAGACTAAAATATTTATCTTTGTGCAAAATATATGATGTCTATACAGTATTCAAATTATTCATGTCTTGCAACTATTCCAGCAATGTAATTTATATTATGCTAACTTTAGTCTGTGACATTTTATGTCAAGTTTAGTCACTTTTATTGGCCTCCAGAACCCTATCTCGTGATGTATCCCACCCTACTGTATTAGTTCACAAACCGACCATCCTGATCTAACCAGCTTATTACTATTTATATACAGTCACAGACTCCTCTCATTGTGCTATTATTTATAACAAACTCTCAGTAATGTTATGTTGTAAATCAGCTTAGCTCAGTTCTGTTATGGCTTGATATAAGTACCGTATACTGTCATGCACTTTATAGTTACACCCAACTTGAAGAGGATAGTAGGGGTAGTGGAATTGATTATTGCAAGTTGGTCTGGAGTCAGTCTTCCAGCAGAAATCTTATATTACTGTATTGATGTACAGTTGGCTACACTTTACCACATACATGCCCAATCCTCTTTATCCCTGAGGTCTGATCCCCAACTGAAGTATGAATTCACTGAGAGCGGGAGGAGCAGAGGTTGGTAGTTCTTTCTTTTGGAAGAGATTACACAATGCAGGGTAACTTTGACAATATTTACAGGTTTCTTCTGCAAAGTAATTGTCTAGCATTAGCCAGATGAAAATACTTAAGTTACAATATGTGTCTTTGCAAAAAGGGGCATTTATGAGCAAATTGATTATGTTATGTTATATGCAATAGACTCTAACTTACGTGAGGGTTACATTCCGGGAACTCACGAAGCAAAATAGTAAAGTCAGAAAACCCCAAAAATCCTTTAAATTGCCCTTAAATCACCATATATACGATACATTACACTAGAACTCATAAATTACTGTAATGTAATACTGGTCCACAATCCCTTATCCCTATTTGAGGTCTACATTCAAATTAATCACTATTATAGGGTCGGATATACGCAACTTTATGTAACGATTTTCTTATATCGCGACTCCAAAATTATCAAATTTTTCTATATATTGGCATAAATTTGTTTATTTTATTTAGGGAAATCGGGCAGGAAATATTTCAAATGTATCATGGCAAACAAATATTTGATCACCAGAGGCTAACCATGGCTGCTCACTCACACATTCACTCTCTCCGGCTGAGTGAGGATTAGAAAGCAGCCGATCCTGCAGATTACCGCTTCGGTGAGTGTAAATGGGTTGCTAGTGACGGAAAAGTGAAGTGAAGAAAATGAAAGCTTAATGGAAATGATTTAATAGTGTAACTAATATTTTTGGTGTTTGTTTATGATTGTCAAGTGAGGGTGGCAGTGTGGCCTGGTGTTCCCAGGATGGTGTGTCAGCTGCCGAGTCTAGTGTTCCTGTGTCTGGTGTTCCTTGATATTGATATTGAAACAGTCTGTTCTTGAGTCTAGTGTTCATTGGTGCTTTAGTTAGTAAGAAAATAAACTCGGTCAAGTTTAGTCACTTTTGGCTTCCGAACCTAACCCTATTTTCCCCATTGATTACATGCAATTATGCATCGAGATTTAGTATATAGCTAACATCTTTGGACCCTATCTCGCGATATATCCTGACCCTACTGTATCTTACAAGGATTCCAGCAATGCAAATTTATTCTCCTAACTTTAGTCTGTGACATTTTATAAAATAAAAATTTTAAGCCTAGAACTTCCTTCACCCCTGGAAGGAGGAGGTGATGTGTTGACAGCCAGGCAGGGGAGTAGGTGAGGTGAGGTATTCACCAGCCAGCAGGGACATTAATCCCGTACGCCTTATCTGCCATATAGAGGAGTTTAAGTTTTTCGCTATAAGATATCACTGAACTGGCCGGGGAGAATATAACTTACATTAATGGAATTTTGTAAACGAAAGTGATTAATTTGAATATAAACATGCTATAGTTTGCACTAGACAATTTTGTTTTTTATTTAGTACATATGAGTACAATAAAGGTATGTAAAATGAATAAAAATGAAATTATGTAAATCTACCCCAAAATGCACAGATTTGCATTGATAGATGAAACTATATCAGCCTATAAACAGATCTAGTTTGAGAGTTAGGGGAAGGCGGAAAATGTGAAGAAGTGAAGAGTAGAATCATCAGCATAAGAATGGATAGAATTAGTGGTAGTGTGAAGTAAATCCTTGATAAAAAGAAGGAAGAGAGTAGGTGATAGAGTGTTTTATGTTACTGACTATCCTAAATTTTGTCCATATCTCTATGACTTTCTATGTACTGTACTGAGGCATCTTATTGATTGATGGCCTTATAATAAGCATATCGGATGTCTCTCTGATTCTTCTTCATACTGACGCACAAGAGAGAGAGAGAGAGAGAGAGAGAAAGAGAGAGAGAGAGAGAGAGAGAGAGATAGAGAAAAAAAAAAAAAAAAAAAAAAAAAAGAGAGAGAGAGAGAGAGAGAGAGAGAGAGAGAGAGAGAGAGAGAGAGAGAGAGAGAGAGAGAGAGAGAGAGAGAGAGAGAGAGAGGAGAGAGAGAGAGAGAGAGAGAGAGAGAGAGAGAGAAAGAAGAGAGAGAGAGAGAGAGAGAGAGAGAGAGAGAGAGAGAGAGGAGAGAGAGAGAGAGAGAGAGAGAGAGAGAGAGAGAGAGAGAGAGAGAGAGAGAGAGAGAGAGAGAGAGAGAGAGAGAGAGAGAGAGAGAGAGAGAGAGAGAGAGAGAGAGAGAGAGAGAGAGAGAGAGAGAGAGAGAGAGAGAGAGAGAGAGAGAGAGAGAGAGAGAGAGAGAGAGAGAGAGAGAGAGAGAGAGAGAGAGAGAGAGAGAGAGAGAGAGAGAGAGAGAGAGAGAGAGAGAGAGAGAGAGAGAGAGAGAGAGAGAGAGAGAGAGAGAGAGAGGAGAGAGAGAGAGAGAGAGAGAGAGAGAGAGAGAGAGAGAGAGAGAGAGAGAGAGAGAGAGAGAGAGAGAGAGAGAGAGAGAGAGAGAGAGAGAGAGAGAGAGAGAGAGAGAGAGAGAAAGAGAAAAAAAAAAAAGAGAGAGAGAGAGAGAGAGAGAGAGAGAGAGAGAGACACCATCTAAGCTCACTCTTTTTCAGTATTCCCATAGGCAGTGTCCGCTTACATCATACCCATTGTTTAAGTCCTTTATCTCCCTCACTATCTTACCCTTTCTCTTGCTGTTCTTCAATTCTTTTGGAACCTTTCTGTATACATTCTCTCTCTCTCCTACCTGGTAATTGCTTCATCTGCCTGGCGCTGTACCCACCCATCTCATGACTTCCTCTTCCCTTTTTCTTAATGTTCCTGTTGTCAGTTTGTTTCTTTACATCTTCCATTGTTTATGTCCTGCAGTATCTTTCACTCTATCCTTTCTCTTGCCATGCACTTCCAACTCTTAAACAAATGTCAGAAACATTATGTATTAGCCTAATATATCTTTCAAAGTATACCTTGGCATTATAACATTCATATTGCATATAAATAATGGTAAAACAAATTAAAAATGAGAATAAAATTTCATCAGTGTGTGGTTGGCAGCGACCAGCTGAGTCATCACAATATGGCAGCAGCTACAGACTGTGTCGTCTGCCAGGCAGGAGGATGTTGAGGAGCGCTCCAGCATCAAGTGACACAATTTTTGAAAGACTTGTAGAAAACTGGACGGTGCAGTTATTAGCATATATGTTTTATATGACTGCAGTGGAATAGTGTGTTGAAAAGGTTAAATAAGAGATTGTTGTTCAGTGTTTGTTGCGGTGGGTACAGTTATGTTATTGTCTTTTATCACTTTACATTCCTGTCAGTCATGTGTAATCTTCACTTCATTATCTTTTGTTCTCACTTTACAGAGACACTGAAAAACTGAAACAAGTCGAACAAGACAGACTGGAAGGGAAAATTAAAAAGAAAGGGAAAACTCAAGGAAGGCTGACATCCCTGCAAGGAAGGAGAGGTCAAGAGAAGTGAGTCTGAGGAAGTGTTGGCCAAACTATTGAGCTCAGGCGGGGCTATGGTAGATATATTGGTCTGACAAGGTTCATAACTGATGATACCAATTTGCAGCAAATTGTTAAAAAGTTGTCAGTGAAGAAAGCTATGTGGGAGAAGAGTTTACGCGGTGCCACTTCAGACGGTGACAACAGTGATAAAAGGGATGATCATGCTGGGAAAGTGTACATGACTGAGAACATTGTCACACAAGACATTCACAACCTGGCTGTCAAACAATTCTTGCTGTGAACTTGAACTTACTGAAAAGATGGGAAATACATATATCAGTAAAGTAAATAATTCACAAATTCATCCTCATAAGGCTCTAGTAAATTCTATAGATGGCAATGGTATTTTGCCTGGAGCAGATGATAGTGAAGGAGGTTCTCTGGCAGTGTATAAGAGGACTACAAGTGCTCAAACAAGTGAAAGTGACGACTATCGCCTTGGGCTAGTGGGGCTCCACACGCATGTGTAATTTAGCATCCAGTAGTTTACTGATTGTTTTTGTCAAACGCTAAGATTGATTTTTTGTGTAACATTGGGTGTGTTTAATCATTGAAGAAGAATTTTCCAAGAATATTTTTGTAGAGAAACAAAATAGAAACATTGACTCCTCTTGTAAAACTTCAGTTGAAAATTACTCTGTTAATCTGTTTGATGACAAAGAACTTAATGAGTCAGGTGATGGACAGTGTCAAGTTCTGTCAGAAAGCAAATCTTTATACCCACACAGCCTTCAGGCAGTTTTCATAATCAGAGTGATGGTGCTTCAGCTATAGATCAAAAAGCTGTACCTCTGAATCCACTACATCCTTCAGAGATCCCAAACTTAGGTTACGGTTTCCCACTCAGCTCTACTCTCAAGAAAGAAAAGTTTGCTCTTGGGAGAAACTGCAGAATGTTGTCATGCCAGCCAGCAGACCGTCTGACTCAGGGTATCTCTGTAAGTCAAATAATAATGCCTTAAGTTTTTTGTAGCATAAAGTGGATGATGGGGCTTGTGTGACTTACTTCTTTCATCAGCCCCAGGTAGATTTTCACTGGTATGTCTGACCTATCTTCCACCACAGCCTCCTGTCTTCCAACACTATTTCCTTTCATTTATTCCAGTCTTCCAAGTCTGTATATATTAATATGTTTTGTATACAAGTATTATATCCACCTCTTCCTGGGTCTTCCTGGTAGTCGCTCTCCTCGTCTTCAATCAAAAGCCACATTTGGTCGTCAGTGCTCTTCCATCTTCTCCATGTGACGTGTCCATTTCTGTTTAGACAGTTTTTCTAGTAAGTAATGATGTTAGTCCAAAATTCACTTAAAGTATGATCTCTTGTTCTGCCCTTTTTCTGACTAGTATAATTAGGATAGCTTTCATTTGTGTTGCCACCATTGTGCTTTTATCCCTTGGTCCAAGTTTCAGCTCCATGTATCAACATTGTGGAATATTTGTGGCCTCGCCTCATCAGAGACATTTATCTTTCAAAAGTGGACATAAACACCTTTAGCTGACAAATATATTCTGGAATTGTTTCAGTAATATCTTCATTAAAATTCTCTGGCTGACTGAAAAAAGGCCAGTGTCAGAAAATGCCAATTTAGACTTAGGTCCATGAAGCCTGAGTTGTTGATTCCCAGGAGTAGTGCAATACAGGTTGACAACCCTTTATCCGAAATTCCGAAACCGAAAAGCTCTGAAACCGAAAAGTTTTTTTGTGGAGCAACTTTTTTTTTTTAATAGGATTAGCCCACCCAGGCATAGATCACTGACCCACATCGCCTGGGGGCGAAATATAATAGTAATACTAATTATAATAATAATAAATATTCATTGTAAATAAAAATTTAATAAAAAATACACCAAAATAAATTAATAATAATAACAATAATAATAATAAAATATAATAATAAAATTAATAAAAATAATAATTACAATACTGTATTAATAAAATAATAATAATAATAATAATAATAATATAATAAATAAATACAAGAATGAAACAAGATAAAAAGTGAGAAACACAACCTAGACCTATGAATTATTATTATTATTATTATTATTATTATTATTATATTTTTGCCTTCCAGGCCCCACTGTGGGTCAGTGACTCCTGTCCGGTGGGCTAATAATAAAAAAAAAAATTCTGAAAACCGAAAAATTCGAATGCCTCTGGCCCCAAGGATTTTGATAAGGGATTGTCAACCTGTATTGGTCCTTTGTGTCTAGGGACAAAATTTCTTCCCCACCAACTCTTATACAGGTTGTACCTCTCTAGTCCGCAACCTGAACCTGACGTGCCGACCATGGAAATTCACCCTTTTCCTGGATAGATATGACTTGTGCTTATGCGAAGCACTAGCACCACTTTCTGCTTAATGGTCTCTTTGAAGACATTTTGAAGGGTTAAATGTCGTATAGTAGCTTCTCAAATTTCGCGAAGTTTTTAATTCTAACGATTTTATTGAAACGCAAAAATAAATAAAAATTTTGACCGCGAAACTTGAATTTCGACGGGTTTGAATGGCCCGCCAACGTGCAGGACGACGTGCATAATCGTAGTAAACAGCGTCATTTCTCTTATGTACAAAAGATTCATTATTGTTTATTACTGAATGTCTTTTTATTGAATTAATGTTTATGTGTGCAAATGAGCAATACAATTCATTAATAATACGAGAATATTAAAACACACGAGGAAATGACACAGCTTTGTTTATTGATTACAAAGCCAGTGACTGACTGGTCTTCACATATAAAACTGAAGAAAATAAGACCCTGGTTGTAGCTGTAGTAAAATTAATATGGTTGTTTTAAGTAATGTTATTTAATGTTAATAAATGGAACAAAGAAGTAGCTAACGATTATGGTAAAGAAAGAGAGATCACGTATAAGCGCATGTGCACACGCTGAAAACATATTGTCATTACTTTACATAAGAATATGAAAGCAACACTTATTTACTGTTCATATAATGTTACGTGGAATATTAGAGGAGACAGACGGCTGCCGCATTGTTTATGCTAAAGCTACGAAACCAGTGACTGATTGGTTCTACATATAAAACTGAAGAAAATAAGACCCTGATTTTAGCTGTAGTAAAATTAATGAATCGTCTGCTTGTGCAATTAACCAGGCCGTTCACATATATTTATTATTTGGGTTTAAGTAACAAAACCCAAACAGTAGTTCTTGTTTTATTATAAAAGGGTTGTATATATATATTTCCTGAGTGTAGATCAACCGTAATTTCCTTGTAGAGAATGAGAAAGGGACGGCGTATTATAAACGTTAAGTCACGTCCTTATTGATATAAGTTGATGTGAGCAACTGAAGAGTGAGGGCCTCGCCAGCGGCTTACAGATATGCTGACTACGGGTCACTCCTCCTGGGAGAGTTGCCCGCCACGCAGTACAACCCATGTCATACTCATAGACAGTGGAAAGTTACAGGGAGGTGAATCTGAATATAATATCAGATGTATTGACCCATTTATATAATGCTCTGTTGATGAGACAGGGGCCCATTACATTAATGTAAAAAATGAATATGGTTGTATGAAGTACTGTAATGTTATTTAATGTTAATAAATGGAACAATATAAGTAGCTAACCATTAATGGTAAAAGTGAGACTGCAATGTAAGTGCTACATGTGAAAACATATCTTCATTACTCTACATAAGAATATGAAAGCAACACTTATTTACTGCTCATATATATTGAAGGGTTAAATGTTGTACTCTGTATAGACAAGAGAGAGAGAGAGCAGCGAACTGCGGATGTAAACAAACCTTAATTTCCAGGGCTTGTTTTTTTTATGATTAGCCCACCGGGCATAGGTCACTGACCCACATTGGGGCCTGAGGGCAAAGTTTAATACTCCTGTAATAATATTCAGATAAGTAAAAAAAAAAAAAAAAGAGCTGCCTATCTATCTATTGGACAAACTAAAATCGTTCACCGTTTCGGACCATAGAATGCCGGATTAGAGAAGTACAACCTGTATTTAGTTGTTGTTCTGCTCCACAATGAACCATTACTTACGGGTATGCCTCTTTTTATTTGTGTGTAAACCTTATTTTCTAAAAGTTCTGTCCCATTTCTGGATTATACTCAGGGTTACACAGACCAATGGTTCTCAACTTTTTTTTTTTTTACTCCTGCATGCCTTAGGTTTAGGACCAGCTTACATCATGCATGCGCCCTAACACCTACTAATTGGAGAGCACTGGCTAACAGATATACTGTATATTGTACAGTGGTCCCCAATTAACGAAAGCACAATTGGTTCCACAGTCACTGTCAGCTGTATCTATTACTCACAGACTCCACACGTCTGTGAGTCGGCTGAGCTGGGCAATGCAGTGAGTGAGGAACGCCCAGCTTGCTTTAGGCACATAATGAACCTTTACTTTTTTACCTTATGATAATTATTTTAATTTTGGGGGCACATGCAGTGTGTGTGGTGCATTTAAATTGAAATGGGCATAACCAGCCAAGTCCTATTAACGGTATATATAACCATGTAATTTATAGATGATTTAAGCGATTTTAAAGGGTAATTTTGACTGTACACATTTTTGGTTTGGAACGTAACCGCGGAGATGCATCACAACTGTATGGTGAAACTCACACCACCAACACCGTGATAGCTATAGTTGTTGTTGGTTTAGTTGTGCTTAAATACCTTAGTACCTTGTTACAGTAAACATTATAATACTTGAGTATTTTTATATTGTAACTAAAACCTTTAAGTGATTAAGGATGAACACAAGTTTGTGAGTCACATGTTATCTTGTGGAGACAGTGGCAGCCAGGCCTGCTGACTGACCCAACCAGCTGCAATCCAGATTTGACCAGCATAGATCTATATTGCAACTTATTGCAGCTTAAACATTATGTGTTTTCACAGTATTTTGCATAGTTGTGGGTTTGATATATTGTACTGTACTCTACAAAGGATTTGACTTTGGTCCATCGTGTGATCGCTGATATTTGCCTGTATACAATACTCACATATACATTTTTTTTTTTACGGGATTAGCCCACCGGGCACAGGTCACTGACCCACATCAGGGCCCGGGGTGAAAATTTAATAATAATAATAATTCATAGTAAATAAAATTTATCATAAAAAGTAAAATTAAATATTAATGGTAATAATAATAATAACAACACTGTGATAATAATAAATACAAAGAAATGCAAGAATGAGAAAATCAACAGTGAGAAACGCTATATATGTATGTTGTTTTGTCATGTAATAGAAACAATTAAGACCCTACAATTGTGTGTAAATGAGGCAGAAAGTCAGATCAGCAACCTGGGACTTGGTCACAATTTTGTGATGCCATATGGCAGCAGGGTCTACCATGAGACAACACATTATGCTGCCAATATCTTCCCAGGCGGTAGTACCTCCCTGTTGCATGTTTTGGTTTTCAAAACTTCATAAGGATTCCTAGATATGTATTATTGTCAGCACCTGTGTTATTTGATTTACACTAAAGTATATTAATTGCAGAGTGGTATTGAATCGTTATATCGTGCGGCTGCAGCTGGTGTTGACAGATAAGTGGAAGATGTATCGGGTATGGCACAGGTTACGATAGCAGCAAAATGCCAGACCTTTCCCAGAATATGCCAGTATGGCAATATCAAAGTTAGGAATTTCTATTGAGGTGAGATTTCTGTTTATGTTACTGTACATTATTGTGAGAATAAATAGAGTAAAGAAATTAAAAACACTTATTGCACTAAGAATAATAAATAGGTAAGTAGTGGCTGGAAGAGGAGGCGAAAGTGAGTGAGACCAGATCCCAATGTACTCAACATTTTATTACAGATCTCATTAGTATCATTTGGTGAGATCATTCAGTGACAGGAAGTATTGTTTAAGTAAATACTGTAGTTTTACCAGTGCAGACCTTCACTCAGTCACCCCAGGAGTCTTTTCAGGTACCCAGAGTCTGACTGTAGGGTAAAGGGATATGGTCTGTTTCACTCACTCTCTTAATATGATATACAGTATAGCCTCATGCCAGTCCAAAGAGACTTTTATATTTACCAGTCAAGTCTTCAAGTTACATCCCAGACTAACCCAATATTAATAACAATTGGTGAGTAAACAGACATCACAGCCCCTGTCAACCATAAGAGAGGGGTTGTGAGGTGGATATTTATCTCTTTAACAGACAGCTGTCAGATGTTTGCTGTGCGGCTCTAGGGAGTAAATGAAGATTCATCCCCATCTTATTAATGATATGAATACTGTACTTGCCAGTTTGGGTGCTGTTAGTTGACTTATTTTACACATAATTTCCTCCATCCCATTCTTAACTAGAGAAGAAATTGACATATCACTTGTTGATGAAATGTGGGTCAGATATAAAGGATTGAAGTGTGATATCACACTATGATTGTAAGGGAAAAAAACAGTTGACCTGGACTTACTTTTTCTACTTTAAGGTTATAAATTAGCAAGAGGAATTTTGGAGAATGTGAATCTAATTGAGGGTTTCATCACCTGCCCTAAAGCCTCACAAGACCTGGACCAACCATTGAATCAAATGGAATTTAATTTTCAGCTGTAATTCAACTTGTCCCTCTGGGTAGTGTGTGATGTTGTTAAACATGTCAAGACTCTGGAAAAGGAGACTACAGGAAGTATTTAAAATAAAGTCATATCTTCCTTTATCTTATATTGGTATCTAATACTTTATTTATTTAATTTTTTATTTTTTCTTAAAAGGTTTCACAAGAAGACTTGGAGGAATACTACCAGAATCACCTGGACAACTTGAGGAAGCTGGAATGTTTTTTCCGCGGCATCTTTGGCTCCTGTGGTGGAAGGATTAATTCTTCTCGACCGACTGGCTTATCTCAGAGAACAGGTAACACAGTCATCCTTGGTTATAGCGCACTTGGTTTTCGTGATTTTCATTATCACTCTTCCATCAAAATCTGCACACCTGCCTTTATGGCGATTTTTCAGGCCGAGAATTTGGTTATCACGATTTTCTCCAGGTGTAATGTTGACCCCTTGCTTCACCTACATCTATTGAGGATAAAATCTCTATTTACAAATTGGAAAAAACACATTTAATGGATGAAATGGATGGAGGTAACAAACTCTGAAAGCGGTTGAACAAACACAAGCACTCACACATGCCACTCATTCTGACAGACTTGCCACTCACTTACTTGACAAGTTTTACCAACCATAAAGACAGTTGAAGCTTTCAACATCACTCACAATGGATCTTGAATGTTCCAACTATAATTAGACATATCTAAGTTGCCTCAACAATTTGCAACCCCAGTTGCAATTGGGGTAATTTCAAATTCTGTGTCATTACTAAGGAATAATGAAGTCTATGGTGCACTCTAAGATTGAGAGAAAACGGAGGACTCAGGCGTCCTAGTAGAGAAAGCTGACCTATGACGGGGAATCAAATAAAAAAAGCATAGCAACACGCTTTGTGGACTACAGTATTGAGCGACTTTCATCACTTTGTAATAAACCTAGCCATGCCTGTGTGTGTTTATGATACTTACCATAACATTAAATATATCTTTTAGTGGGTCTAAATGGTCGTAAAATGGGAAAATTGGGGTTGGGTCTTGGGTGCCTGGAACCAGTTAGAATAAATCCCATGGGTTCTGTACTTTGTTATCGCGTTTAATAATACGCACTCAAGCAGTCCCAATTAGGCGTGATAACCAAGGGATGACTGTATAGTAATTTTTCTTAGCACAAAAAATAGTCTTCCTTTGATGATGAAGTTGTTTTGATGAAATAGTAATGACTGGCTGTCCCCAGAACGGTGTTTGATAAAATTTTCATAATGTACAAGGGTCAGAGGATTGACTTCTGAATGTAAAACTATAAATGCCTGCCAATGCGAGCGAGGTTCCATAAGGTCAATAGTAATATCTCCGTTAGCTGGAATTTAAATTTTCACAGAAAATCATTCCCCAAAGCTGAATTTTCTGGAAAATTCTCCTGAACTACTACTTCACCACTCGACTTATGGCCGGGGTTAGGGACCCAAATCCAGAGTTGTGAAATGAAATGTGAATAATACATAGAAAATCTAAAATGGGTGTCTCTTTTTCTTCTCAGCACCACAAACTCTCACTTTTAAGCTTGCCAGCCATTTAAAGTGAATTACAAGCGAAATTTTTCAATACACAGCGCAATCATTATAGGACTCGAAAAATATGTACAGTATTACCCGCTTTACACCGTTTCACTTTCAGCGATTTCTCATTCTGCGGTACTTTGCCAGAACCGGACTTTCACTTTCGCGGTGCATACTCATATTAGTGGTGAAGTATAATATTTTTTTATTTATTTTTTAGCTCACAAAATTCATACAAATTACCCGGCCAGAATAAATAATTTACATTGCTGCAAAATTCTTACAATATGATGATCATTTTGAATATAAACATCATAGATTTTGCATTAGACATACAAATTTTAGATCTAATGTAATAATTTGGTTTACAAAGCAAATATTTTATCTTTTGTGCAAATATATGAAGTTTACATTCAAACCCTATTCTGACAAGGAATCCAGAAATGTCAATTATATTATCCTAACTTAGTCTGAGTATTATTTATTACTAAGCGTTAAAATCTAGTGTTTTCACCCAACATTTCTCAGAGGTAGGAGCTAGTGAGCTGGGAAGAGTGGGGGGATTTGAGTCCATTATTTGAATGGACATTAACCTAGCGACTGCATTTCTCTTAAATATTAATTGTGTGAGCATACCATCATAAAATTTAGATCTTATTTTTACTACAACATAGGTATTGTGTCGGAAAAAGTGGGTTTTAGTACGTGGCCAGTCTCTATTGGAATTATTCCCATATGTTCTGTTGTTCACTTTTCTGCGGTTTTCACTTTCAGCGGTACCCTGTGAGTTCAATTGACACGTCATCGGGTAATACTGTAATTGAAAAATTTTGGTATGACTGGAGCAGTCATGTCCGGGTAATTAAGTAAGAAGGGTAGCTGTATTTTCGAGGGCACATTTTCTGGGAAATTCGAGAAAAATTTCCGTTACCGGAAAATTCGGGATGGGTTATTTTATTCTGGGTTTGAGAGTTGAAAATCAGGGGCACTTTCCATTCTAAAAAATATTCGGTACCGGAGAATTCGAGGGATATATCGCAATTTCTGGTTCGAGAAAATTTTCCTGTTACCGGAAATTTCAGAAAATTCAGGGATGAGGAGTTTTCTCCATCTTTGAAAAGTTGTTTTAGTTACCGAATCTCTCATTCCCGGAAGTGCTCTGCCAATTCTTCCAGCTAACGAGAACATCACTATCTTAAAAGTCTGACATAAGTACAACTGGTTTGTAGTATTGCATACGAGAACTAGTTTGCATGACCTAGAGGGACGCATGGGAATGGATGATGCACCCAGCCAAAGTGCTTTGAGGCGTCTGTATGCTAGCGTGCATGATCAAGTGCAAACTGTTGTTCAAGGAAAACAATTACAATGGAAGTGAAAATTGATGGAATTAAACATTCTAAAAAGGAGAAACACCTTCAGTGATTGGTAGGCGTTGAGCTTCAATCAGTCAACGGTCAGAGCAATTTTTAAAAGACAAACAGAAAATTTTGAAAATGTAAAATGATCTACCACCAGCACTCAAGTGTGACAACAAAACAAAAAGTGGATTGTTAGTGATATGGATGGAAGATCAAATTTAGAGTTGCCTCTTAAGTTTAGCCTTAATTCAGGAAAAGGTGAAGCTTGCATGCAGACTTGAAGACTAAGTGTGGTGATGAAAGTGATGGGGAAGATTTTTGTTGCTAGTAGGGGCTGGTTTAACTGGTTCAGGAGTAGGGCAAATGGTGTTGGAAAAAACACTGCCCACAGTTTGCTAGCGTTATCGGGGACTTTGAAATTGACGTTGGGGAAGTGACACGGACAGTGGTAGACCTTGAGACAAACTCCAGCTTTATATTCGTGAGGATGATGTCACACAGTTGTAGGTCTCATGCTGAAGAATTAAGCAGTGAGGACCTGACTAAACTGGACAAGCAAATTTTGTCAGAGGATGTAGAAGCTGAAACTCCAGAACCAAAGGGATTCATTACAAAAGAAATGGCAGATGGTTTCAGGCTTATTGAAGAAGGAATGTTTACATTTAAACAGCAAGATGCCAACACAGCAAGATTCACCAAGATTCATAGGGGTATTATTGAATATCTATGATGCTACAGAAAAATTTATGATGAAAAACGTCTCAGTTCAACCTACCCAATAAAGCCTCTGTCACTCCTACAAATGCCCATCTCTACATGCAAGCCAGCCCCAGGTTTCATCATAAAGTAACTTTAATTTGTACTTTCTGATTACTGTATTTTGTCATTCAATTTCTCGTTTTTTACGTAAATTAAGTACTGTATATACTCGTCTATAATCCCCTGTTTATAGAGGTCAGCCCTGATTTTTGACCAAGAAATCGTTAATTTATGATATTTCTCGTTTATAGTTAGACCCAAGTTTTTTAGGGTAATGGAACAACAAAACCTTCACTAAAACTTACTCGTCCTATAAACTGAGGCTCGCCGTGCCTGAAACACCAAGTGCGAAGGCAAATTGTTTACCATTTATTATTACGACACTTTACATTGAAAAGCGGGTAGTTTCAACAAAAATATTGTATATCTCCATTCAAGTATTTATTCAAGTCAATTAGGAGGAATATTATTGTAATATAACAGTTTTTAAACTGAAAACCATTAAGCGATTACGGTAACATCTTTTGAGCGAAAAGCGAAAGTCATTGTTTTCGTCACGATTTTATCCCATTTTCCACATAATATACGTCATTTCAGCAAAATATTACATTTCCGTTAATGCATTATATCAAGCACAGTATAATAGAATATCATTGTAATATAACAGTATTTTAACCGAAAACTATTAAAAACGAGTAACATCTCAAGAACATCGGAAGCTTAGGTAAAGTCTTTTGGTTTTCGTCATGTATTTTATCTATTTTACATTGAAATACATCACGTTTCAACCAAAACTACTATTTATTTCGAGAATATATTCATTCACGCAGTTTAGGTAAAATCTACATGTGATGTAACAGTTTCTTAACTAACGATTAGAAAAACCACGTACCCTCTTGCCCTGTTCAAGGAGAGGACTGGGAGTAGCTGTTTTGCTGATGAGACAAGGAGAAAATGATTTTGATGAATTTTAATGAAAATATTCAGAAATATGAGTAGTATTTATTCAAGTCAATTAGGATAGAATGTTTTGTAAAACAACGAACTGAAAACCATTAGAAAAGTGATTACAGTAACATCTTTTGAAGAGCGAAAGCGAAGTCATTGTTTTAGTCCACGATTTTTATCCCACTTTCACTGTAATAAATTATATTATTTCCGCAAAAATATTACATTTCGTGAATGCATTATATCAAACACAGTATGAATAGAACATCATTGTAATATAACAGTATTTTAACGAAAACTATTAAAAAAACGAGTAACTTTTCTTGAACATCGGAAAGTTAGGAAAAATCTTTTGTTTTTGTCATGTATTTTTATTTATAAATTAAAATACGCAAGCGAAAACTACTATTTTTTTCCGAGAATATATTCCTTCAGGCACAGTTAAGGTAAAATATACCTGTGATGTATCAGTATTTTAACTGGCGATCTGAAAAACACGTGTACCGTCTAGCTGATACTCAACAGCTGGTGAATTAAGTCAAGCATCGTTGTAAACAATAGAGGTTGAAGTGGATTACTTAGTATTATATTAAGTGTGAAATATCGAAAAGGTTTTTGTTACTGGTACTTTTTGTAGGTCAATGAGTACTGTGATACCGTATATGATATGATAAGTTAGCCTGTGCTAAGAACTTCAACATAGACTACTGAAAGCATGTTGTAAGGTAATTTAGCCTATTGTAAGTTGGTGAGCTTCATCTGCTGGAAGGAACTG